GAGTGAGGGATAGCTTGCGCTTGTGAATAGTTTCCTCTCTTGAAAGCCTCATTGCCCTCTTCTTTTTCAATTCTTGTAGTTGTTTTGCTTTCTGAAATGAAGGAAATTATATAAATAAATGAATTTTGGAAAATTCTTATTTCTGAAGTCTACAATTTTCAGTGGATCATTGAATATCAAAATAATATCTTTACTGCCCATATATGAAATGGTAATACAAGTCCTTTGTTTTATAAATAAGAATTTTATAAATAAATTTTATAAATAAGTGTAGCCCCCCCGCCCCAAAAAAAAAAAAAAATCCCTAGCTACACCAAAATTGTCTATTGCAATAAAGAGAGCTCTTACCTTATAAATTTCACGAGCCTTTTGATGGTCAGGCGCTAACCGCAGAACATGCTGGAAGTGATTGAAAGCTGCCTCTGCATTGTCCTGGTAGTAAAGACACATTCCTCTAACGTAGATGGCATCAGCATTACCACTATCGTATTGGAGAATCTCACTGGAAATATAAAAAAAGGATAATAATTATCTATTTTCCTCATGGAACTGTTATCAATCAATAATGATACAATAATGAAGAAAATATGTAAATATGTACAATGCCAATAGAAAAATCTAGATTCCTACAAAAATTTTTACTCAAGCCTTGATTACAACTAAAAATAACAAAAAATGAATGGAGTAAGTTACGAACTTGACTATCTCCTGAGCATCGGCATATCGTTGAAGGAACACCAGATATTCTCCTTTTGTGATCTTAAGGCTTCGACACCCAACTGCTAGATCCAGTGCTCGATCCAAGTGGAAAATGGCCTGCGATTAAAGTTATCGAGTCAATTTCTGTCTTGAACACACATCATATTCATAATCAAAGTGTTTGTTTAAATTCAACAGCATAATTCCTTCTAAATAATGTAAAAAAAAAAAAGTGTATAATAAGCAAAATCGAGAGTGTGATGGACTGAGGTGCAACGTGAATATTTGCTAGTCTCATAACACAAGAGTATTTCATATGAAACATCAGATGAAAGGGTATAAGTTACTCCTTTAAGATCACTCTACATTCTAACTTTTCTCTTGACTTTAGTTTCATTCCTCAAATAACCTGGGCAAAAAAAATCTGAGGACTCCAGCTCTTACTCACCGTCCTGTAATCACCCTTTGTGGTTGCTTTCTCAATTTCATCATTGCAGCGGATAAGGGCCTGAGCATTGTTGATTTCGTCACGGATTGCTTTGTTGTTGGGCTCGAGCTCTCCTGCCTGACGCAGCACTGACAGAGCTGCATTAGCATCCCCGAGGGCAATGTTGCATTTTGCGACGCGAACGTATCCCTGTGGATAAAAAGGTGACCTTTTAATTAAAAATGGTATTTAAAACTCCGAAAACGGAGGAATATTTATTACATAATATATACCTTTTAATTCTGAAAAAAACAACAAGAATATAACTTAAAAACACAGCCATTTAACTAGACAAAGAGGCTAAATAAATAAATAAATAAATACATAAATACATAAATACATGAATAACTAAAAATAAAACAACAATTCTAACTGGATTCATAATCAGACTACTGGACAAAGTTGTGTATCACATAGGAAAAAAAAAAAAAAAAAAAAAATAATATATATATATATATATATATATATATATATATTAAATATATAAATAAATAAAATAAATAAATAATAAAAGGAAAAGAGAAAAAAGTTCTTACCTTGACAAAATTTTTATCTAATCGCACAGCCTCTCTGGCATCATTGAGGGCCTCATTGTACTTCCCAAGCATCATGTAACATGCTGACCGGTTGCTGTAATACGCTGCACAATCTGGACATAGCTCTGTAAAACAAGAAATTTACATTAAAAAAGTGCTCATACTCTAAAAAGTGATAATATATGGCTTTATCACTCAAATTATTAGTAATAATAACTGTAATAACAATACCAACAAAAGTCAAAAGTATTACAATAACAATAGTCATAACAATAATGATAATGATAATATGATAATAATAATAATAATAATAATAATATAATAAATAATAATAAAAAAAACACAAAAAGTGTAAAATCCCAAAAATCGAACTTCAAAACTCATATGTCAACTTTTTTTTCTTTTCACACTTCAACATCATCATCACAAAGACCACTAAATAAGCTGGTAAGTTAAAGGTGCCAACATTCTACAAGATAAGCCTTAGAAGTCCACTAAATACCACAAGGAGAGTTGTGGGAGTGTTCTGTCTTTCCGATGTTTTGCCTGAAATTTCCTCAGTACATGTTACAGCTTTGCTACGAGACCGGAATCGTCGCGTTCGGTGCTTTCCGCGGGTCGCTTGTATCGGCGACATGCTAGTTTTATGGGACATTACAATAAACAACTATTGCTGCCCAATATTCTGAACCATCATAAACTGGGAGAGAGGGAAGGAGAGAGGGAGGAAGGGATGGAGAGGAAGAGAGAGAGAGAGAGAGAGAGAGAGAGAGAGAGAGGGGAGGAGAGGAGGCGAGGAGGAGAGGAGAGAGAGAGAGAGAATGTGGAGTAGACGAGAGAGAGAGAGGGTGGAGAGAGAGAGAGAGAGAGAGAGAGAGAGAGAGAGAGAGATGTGAGAGAGAGGAGAGGAGAGGAGGAGAGAGAGGAGAGAGAGAGAGAGAGAGATGCGGAGAGAGAGTGGGGCAAGTGGCTCCGGGGAGGGGTCCAGATGGCAAATTCCCACGCTTCTCTCCCCGCCGGCCCTTTGCGGCCGAGGGACTTCGATCGAGGTATGACTCCCTTTGTGGCGCGTCTTGGTGCCTGGCGTTCGTATTTGACGCCTTCTCCAAATCGGGTTTGATCAGGATAAATGAGTTCACGATGAAGTGAGTGAAAGGGTTGTACGTAAAAAGTGTTGAGATTGAGTGTAATGAGTTTGAAAATAATTGAGATTCAGAAGAGAGCGAGAGAGCGAAGAGAAAGAGAGAGAGAGAGAGAGAGAGAGAGAGAGAGAGAGAGAGAGAGAGAGAGAGAGAGAGAGAGAGAGAGAGAGAGAGAGAGAGAGAGAGAGAGAGAGAGAGAGAGAGAGAGAGATAATTACTCCCAATACCAGGTAAACACGTCAAGATAAAAAAGAATATCAAATCCCAAAAGACAACAACAACAACAACAACAACAACGACAACAACAGCAAACACATCGAAATAGCCATCAGCCGCCAAATTATAAATCAATGTTCCGCACTTTGACGGACAACACGTTGCACAACCCCAGGGCCTCGGTTTACCCACAATCTGCCCGTGTTTGCCCGCCATAACCGGAGCCAACACTAGCGCTAACGATGCAAACGGGCCGTAAAAGCGAGGACGGCGTGCGTGGTCTCCTTTATCTACGGCTGACGAGTAAAACCAACAACGACGCTAACTTGCCTAGATCCAAACCCGTTTTGCGGCACGGACACGAGAAAGACAGACGTATAACCATAAAAAAAAAAAAAAAACACAAGAAAGACAGAGAAAGGGAGAGAGGGAGGGAGATGGAGAGAGAGAGAGATGGAGAGAGAGAGAGAGAGAGAGAGAGAGAGAGAGAGAGAGAGAGAGAGAGAGAGAGAGAGAGAGAGAGAGAAGAGAGAGAGAGAGAGAGAGAGAGAGAGAGAGAGAGAGAGAGAGAGAGAGATATCGTCCTTAAATATAGCGCCGTCCTCTCACATAAATCTTAAATGTCCTCTCGTGTTTCAGGAAAACAACTCTCTACACTCGACAACCCAACATGAAAAAATATACCACAATCAACACCAACGAAGACGAACATCACCTCTCACCTCTAACCACCATCACTAATGCCGCGCGGACCTCGAACTCAGCTGTTGACGGGCCAGCGGAGAGCGCATACCACGGTGTCGCTGGTGATTAAGAGAGCCCGTTCTGCGTCCTGTTCTTGATGGCCGCCGAGATGCCAGGCTTTGTTTTTAAGACAGGATGGACGTACTAACACGCGAGGCAATTGGGGTAAACATGGCAAGTCATTCTCCTTTGTATTTAATCCTTTACTGCTTTAAATGAAGAACAGGGGAACGAGGCACGGATAAGAATGGAAAAAAGGAACAGCAGAGGTTGATGATTCAACTGACGTAGCGCAGAGAAGCGTACCGGAGCGTCTCTGAACGAAATTGAAACCGAATAAAAACGGCCAAGAAGGGACAGAATAGTATATGGGCGAGAGACTGACACGACAATACATAAAACACACTACACATTTCTTGTTCTCCCTTCGCCTAACCACAAGCGCCATTAGTCCTGCGAGGGCGATAAAGCTGCCTCCTCCGTGCCAAGAAGGGCGGGCGTTTACGACACCGACGAGCCCTCCAGCGCCTCCGAGGTGACGTCCCCCAGACGCGGGCGGCGACGTCAAACCCGTCGCACAAAAGCCAATTATGATTACTTTCTGGACTCAAATAGCACGGGGATATTTCTGCTAAAAGGTCAAACAGTTAATCGCGCACTCCGAAGAGGTCGCACCAAGGACCCAGCAAGGCCGCCCAAACCAGCCTTTGAGATGCAGCGCTACCTGTCTCGGCTGAACCCCTGACCTTTGCTGGCTGCGAGAGCAAAGGCATCCAGCGCCGACGCCGCGCACAACCCTCACCCCCCCCTCCCCGTGCCCACTGCATGACTTGCAACGTGGCTCCGGGGCGTGAGAGGGCAGGGAAGGCGTTCACGTTCAAAGAAGAGAACGTGGTCCCAAAATAGCCCCACGGAAGCCATAGCGGCCACCACATTAACGGCAATGACTTAACGAAACTCGTAGGCTGATAATGCCGTTTAAGAAAAAAAAGTTAATTCCCAAATCCCCGTTCCATAATGACTACAAGACCATACACCGTGCCGACCAAGGTGCTGCTGCCAGTGTCATCTGAACTCGTAGTTACCAGCGCAAAAACTGGCCGACAGAAGCTCAGCCTCAAACATCTCTCAATTCCCCTAACCTGAAGTTATCATAAAAAATAATATTAATAAATCGAAAGCGCATTCCCCACTCGTTCGTCAGGTATCAGTTAGCAAGGGAAATTACCGATCATCGGGCGATGGAAACACGCGCCAAACAAAGACTTCACTCGCGCTTCACGCTCCGATGCAGACCCGACAAAAACTAGAGCGCGCTAATGGGTTCAAGGAGCGTCCGAGATAAGAAAGATGGATTTTGATGCCGCATCCCCCCCCCCCCCCAAACATGTTCTGTAAAAAGTGAAGGAAAATAATACAAAAGTCGTACTCGAATGCCTCGGCAGACCAACCCATCCCTAAGGAGTCCTTACCAGCATCCCTGGCCGCGTTCCTCCAAGCATAACAGTCGGTGGCGTCCTTCGCGGTGCCCGTAGTCGTCGTGGTCGTGGGCGTGAGGTGCGAGGAGATGCCCCCATACCGCCCCTTCCCCCCTCCCCGCGCTCTCCTCCTGCCGCGACTCATGCCCCCCCGTCGGTGTCACGTCGGGGCCAGGGTTTCGCAGGTCGCGGCATCCCGCTCCTCTGGCCGCTTCTCCAGGAAAAGGGCGAAGCTCCTCTGTCGTATGACTGCGCTTCCTACGCCACACACAGCCTGGTTGCTTTCACTTTCTACACTTCTCGCACAGAATATCAGAGCCTGTGCACGGCATCTACGGCCAGACACAGCGTCCATATCCTACAGCACTAAAACTTCGGGCTAACGACGTCGTCCATATTGCCATTTCGTCAAACTCAAAATCCTTCAAATGTCGACGTCAGTCAAAAGTCCCTGATAAGGAAAAAATATCATGTCAACGCATGCTTATCGAGTCCCTTTCTCATTGCATTCTAGCTCGTGTTCTTTCGATGATCTAGTCCTCTTTCACTGGCCCTTGTCACGGGTTCGCGCCCCCTCTCGACGACCCCTTCAGAACAGGTCAACGGGCGACCCCCTCCCTATCTGGGCGGATGCACCTCTCCGGATTGCAGTGGCCGCCCTCTTTCGCAACGTGAGGCAACAGAGCAACACTATTTATTTGTTGAGAAATTAGCATCACGTGCTGCTCTTCTATTTCCTGCAATGTTGCAACACTTTTCCCTTGAACCAATCGTCAACCTTCGAAAGAATGGCTCCTCAAGTGGCAATAAATCTAAGGACTAAAATAGCTTCATCAAATAAACCGCAAAAACAAGAATTTACGAATGTTAGGAAAATAAACTTTGGTGCTACTTCGCTTCAACAGAACGTATCTGACAAGTTAATCTTCATGCATCAATAAGCCGCCCTGCAACGGCTGTGCATCTTGTTCAGCGTCTTAAGAGGGAGATAAAATCAGAGCTCAAGATGATCACGCAAAACTAACACCATAATCCCCGCGAGAAACTTTAGGAGCTTTCCGTTTTTTATTATTTTAAGGGCAACAATGTGGACAGTCAGCCTCTCAAACAACGGATGGAGCGCCCGAGGGAGGCAGGACGGCAGGCTCCCATCCCCTGCCCTTTGGCCAGCGGAAAAGCTATTCTTCGCCGTAACTGAACTTGTGAATTCTGTCACTGAAAGACGCCAATATTACGTGCATCATCACATACCGATACGAAGGCGGCCGGCGACCAAAATACAGGCGGGGTCAGACCCTTGCAAGCCTGGCACAGGCGTGCCCTGGGCACGAATCGAGCAAGGATGGGGCATGCGCTCGTACAGTCCTCTCAGCCTTCCCGGGATACGTCTATACATTGCAAGTGTGTCTTTCCTTGTCCGCATTTTCCTTTCACAAATTCTAGACAACTATTTAATGACAAAACGAGTCCCCATTTCTTAAGGACAGCCGACTCGCACTCGCACACTGGCTGCGTCATTAGCGCGCAGGAAGCATGTGTTCACGC